AAATAAAATAGATGAAAGCTCAAGCAACCAAAACCCCAAAACCCCAAAACCCCAAAACCCCTATTCCTTTTATTGACATACTCTTGATAGGAGTTGGATAAGAATTAGAAAAAATATTTAAATTTTAAAATGCAAAGCAAGATGTTAGATAACAAGGAAAATGATTTAAACAATATGTCGCAGCATTCAGTCCTCAATGCTTTTGACTTCACAGCAATCGATGAGATGGATCCTTCATTAGGTAAGTTTGCATCCTTTGCTAAATAATTTATATGGGCACTCTCACAATATTCTGATTTTGAAGAACCAAATAAGTAACATTAAATTATAGCTGAGGGTCATTCCGTCCTCTATGATAGAGAAGCTCCATTTGAACTGAGAATTTAAGATCCGAACAATGGGCCCTAAGAAGTTGGGACCTTAGAAGCTATCAGAGTTAAAATTCTTGTTCTGGTAAGTATAAAAAGAGCAAATATCAATAAATAAGAAATTAATGAATAATAAATCATGATCTGTTTGCGTTTCTCAATATTAACCTTAAATAATGATAGGGAGATGATAATAATCACATTCAAAACGTGAAGATCGAACTGACCTCAGAAAATGATTTATTTTTCCACTACACTCATATAGTTGACGAGGATAGCTTCAGATAAATGCAAGAGATGCAGAAACTAATGATTGAATTTAATGAATACCCAAACATCCTAATTAAGATGGTAAATAGCTGCATCAAAGAGCCTCATAGTTTCCTAGCAGTATTTATCATGAATAGGGACGGCACAGCTAAATTAGACTTCATCCAAAACATCGAATACAAATTCATAGAGCTTCTTTCAGCTGACTTTATGGCTTCATCCGAGGAAATAGTAAGGCAATCAATCACATTCAGATATAACTCAGTAAAATCTAAGGTAGCACTAATGGAAGCAAGATTGAAAGATGTAAATAATTTAGTAAAAGTCAAAAACCCTTCATTGCTGCTCTAGATCCAAAAGACTACTCCTCAGCCTTCTCAATCTAAAAGATTTAAATGAGCGAAATAATCTTTTTATGTCTCGAGGCATCTAGAATTCTCTTATACACTTGTGAATTATAATAAATTAGCAGTTTATTTTGAATTAATATTTCGCTAAAAAGCTTCTTTATTTTTTTATGCGGGGTTTTGGGGTTTTGGGGTTTTGGGG